CGAGCAAGAGCGTGAATACTGGAGAAAGATCAACGCGGARKGAGTAGCACGGTACCAAGCAAAACGGCAGAAGAAAAGAGGGACTGAAAAAGTAGCAASAAAGGTCGATGCTGTCCAGGTTAATCACCAAGTAACYCATATTCGATTCGACGAAGAATAGCTTTACATCGACACCCTTTGTTATCGATTACTAACATGAAAGCAAATTTGTAAATGAAAATGATYCGCATTTTTCCATGTAAGAAAGAAATAGATCATACATTGATTTCTCACTAAATCTYTTACCATAAAGATACCAATCACTCTTTTAATTTAGTTTTGAATAAAAGACAGAAATTGTAGATAAGCTTATGGACTGCTATTTTGTACAAGACTATACTTTTCTTTGAAGGTTTGGGCTTTCTCTTTCATGTTTTTCTTGTGTTTTGTCTTTCTCATCCTTCTCTTTTCGCTTTCGGTAGCTTGAAATGTCTTCATCCAATTAACAACTGCGTTCCACCATTTGTACTTGATGCACAGTATTGTTGCTGAATAAAACACAAGTATAGTTTTAAGTTCCGTCCACAATTTTGTGTTTTAGTAGAGCTCTATGTATTGTTTTGCACCTCCTTGAGAATGGGTAGCAAAAGGAAAACGCTGCAAAAATGCAACAGAGTGGACGAGTTGTTGCACGAAAATGAGCCGCATTGAAAGAGTGGGATATTTTATTGTTGGTCCACATGCGTTGTGAGCAATTTTATTGAAACCCAAAAATGTGTTTTTAGATGCGAAAGCATCAAACTCCCTGTCATTCGTTTCCAAGACAATTCCCACAAAACCTAGAGTTTAAAGCCTTCTGGGAATACAGGCGTAACCTCAAAAACGAAGAGAATGTTCTTGCGTTTTTTGAAAAGATCTTTGTACTAGAGAGACTGTTGTCAAATAATACAGCGGTCGRTCGCTTTGAATCCGGGCTTTGAATGAGAAAAAGGCGTATTCACTACTGCCATTAGGAAGGGGAATCAGATYGCTGGAAAGACTCTTTAAAATTTAGCACATATTAAAGCATAAATCTTACCTCCCCCGCAAAATACTGCCATTAAACCCCAAAGCACAATGAACAATGCAACGTTGTAGTTCTTAGCTCTACATGTTTTCCACATTTTCTCCCCAGTTCTGCATTGGCGCGGGTCTTGATATGGTAAACATATCGAGTCAGCTGTGCACCAAATACAAGACACATCAAGTGTGCATGTTTGGCAGTCTTTTGCGTTGGAGCATGTATTAAATGGTCTTGCTGATGATGTATCCAAGCAAACGAGTATTAAAACAATGAAAAATAACCGCAACTTCATTCCAGCATTTTACCGTTGGTCGCGAATCATAATTGTTGCGTCATATTGCAGGAAACGCGCGCTTTTTGTACGTAGACACAGGGAGTCCAACAGCCAGTTTTGGTTCGGCTGCACGCATGTTAATTGGAAATGCCAGCGCTTTAGAGTGGGGAATCGTGTTCACAAGGATCTTTGATGGGCTTCAATCAACCCCCATCGAACAACATACATGAGGTTATTACAAGGTTTATTGGAATTTGGATTTTTTCTAATTTGTTAAGCGCATATAAACTTGCACGGATATACTTGCGCTATATAAATCTTATATCATTATTATTAATGTGGTTYAAAGTACTATTAGATTGCATAGCTGAATGAAATATTCCGAATGGAAGGAGACAATCTAAGAGAACATGAAAATAACTTTCCTTATTTTGTCTTGAAAAGAACAAGAAAGAAAGCAAAAGACTCTTAGCATCTTGATTTAGAATAAGCTTTATTTAACAAGTCAGAAACAGATACTCAAACGATATATGCGCATCTGACAATTAGAAAAATGTAAAAAGTCGTTAAGAAGCTTTAATACTCAGTATTAATCTATTTGCCGGAACAGCATGGTGCTGGGGGTGGTGGTGGTGGAGCTGGGGCTCCTGGGGGTCCTGGTGGTCCTGGGGGTCCTGGAGGTCCACATGGTCCTGGGCATCCTTTAAGTCCTGGGTTTCCTTGTGGTCCTGCACAACCAGCTGGTCCTGGGGGTCCTGGTGGTCCTGGTCGTGGTGGTGGTCCTGGTGGTCCTGGGGGTCCTGGAATTCCAGCTGGTCCGGTACATCCTTTAGGTCCTGGACATCCTCGGGCTCCTGGGCATCCTTGGCATCCAGCTGGTCCTGGTGGTCCTGGGGCAGCTGGACGTGGTGGTGGTGGTGCTGGATATACTGGTGGGGGTGGGGGTGGTGGGCAAGCAGCTTGTCCTAAAGATGGAAACAAATTAGTGAAGCAAACTCTACGATAAATGACATAAGAAAGTTTCTTGTACGACGGCACAAGCACGGTTATATAGTACAGTACTATACTCAGGTCGCATTCAACCGCCTCGGAACACGCACGTGTCTGTCTTGAAAGAGGTTTGTCCCAGCTACCACTATAACTGAAAATGTTCGATTTCCATACTATGTAACAAATTTGAATTTGAAAACTTGAATAGAACTGAAAAATAATCGGAACATACTAAAACTTGTGGCTAAGGCCATGTGTGCGGTGAGGATGTTRATGACTTATATAGATCGCAGGTTTATGTACAATCAGTTTATCGTTTATAAATGCCATTTAATTTGTCATTCAAATTTTTCTTATATCGAAGTCAATAAAGTTGCAGAGGTTTGTAGAGTATTCATTGACAAAGAGCAAAAAAATCATCCCGCAAGGCTGCAAAACTCCATGCAATGTTTTTAAAAAGTGAGAGTGAAATTTTGAATAATCAAATAAAAGCAAATTGTTTTAATAATGGTGATGTAAAACCAATAGCATCACCATAAGATAATAACTATGAAAACAAACCAGAAAAGAAATCGAAAACGGCAGGGAAATATTGACAATTATTTAGGTGTCCAGTACAATGAGCCGGCAAAGTAGCCAATTTTTCCCTAATCTGATGTTCGTTCTTTTCAAGCAAAAACCCAATAATTTCCAACATAATTATTTAGACTGTCGCTGATGAGTGTCATATCATATTTCAGCTCTATCTTGTAATCCTTGACACTTCTGACAAAATGCGAAAACTAAATTTTTCAACAGTGGTCTTTCATCAGAACTGAGGTGTTCATCCGTATATTATGAATTGAAATTCCATAACGGTTTCACAAGTCTATTAGTGAGGTGCTAACATACTTGTCAATCTTATTCATCAATTGTTGACTAGTAGGCATTGAAAATGTTAAAATCGTAGAACGGTTCATACGATTAAAGATTCTCGTCTCATATGGAAAGAAACAACTAGATTATCAGTTCTGAATTTGTGATTGACAATTGCTCAATCACTGAAATAAAAAAAAATCAAATATGAAAACAAACTAGTTAAAAATTCAACATCCTCTTTTTGATATTATAGTTAAAGATAAGTAGTACTTTAGGATTAAAAGTATCTAAAACGTTAGCAATGAACTAAATCACAAGATGGAGATGACAAATTTGTTGGGTACATCGTTAATTGTATTTTAAGTTATGGTAGAATACTTACTCTTTTCAAGACTTTTTGCTTGGGAAACGCAGATAACTGCGGCCAGAACAACAACAACTAATTTCAAATCCATTCTATAAAATAATGTACAAGAATCTATGGTTAGTTTCTAATGGTACTAACATATGTTAGGCGTTGTCCTTACCTACTAGATTCTTGTTGAGTCAATTACGTACTGACTAGCTTTCAGATTGTCACAAATTAACTGCTCCGGRAGATGTCAAAACGAATAGATCATCAGGCATTGATTGGTCGATATATCGAATAAGCATAAATATGCGGGTATATTTTGCCAAAGGTGACAAAGGTGTTAAAAAACATAAAGACCAAAGAGTTACTTATAGCGCTAAACTAACAAGAAAATTTTCMCACTTAGGTTGAAGTACAGCGCGCCATTTGATTGAAGAGGCCCGTTTAGAAATCAAAATGCCTTTTATTCTCAAAAAGTCCTAATTGTTTTGGAGTGTAAAGTTTAGTGTTTAGTAAACTATCAGTGGGTAATGAGAAGTTGTAAGATTTGACTATTAGAACAGCAGGTGACGCCATAATAAACTACAGTTTCTTTTCACTTTGGAGAAATCACATAAATGAAAAAACAATTAGCGAATAAATTTACTTTTTTTTCTATTGCTCAGTAATTTATATAAAGAGAGGATCTAGTTTTATTTATCTTTGATCATTTTGGCATCTCTGGTTTAAACAATTCAATCGGCAACAGGTGTCTCTTAATTTTTCAGATTTTACTTGAATTCGTCYCGACTATGAATTCTGACTAAAAAAACATTCAACACAGCTTTTTTTAAACAATTAAATCTATGMTTTTTTCTTTTTTTTCCTTTTTTTATGAATATTTTTATTATCCTGTCGCCGGTGTAGTGGAGCGAACAGCCGGTACCTGTTCTCAGTTGTAGCTTACATCACCACCTAAGTGATCACCAGAGCCTCCGTCAATATTTCATAACCTCCAAAGGATTAAACAAGTTGTAATATTTGGCGCTCAAAAATGTCCAAATCCAATTCAGAAGTTGAACAGAAGACGGAAATAAGACATAAAATAAATGAATAATACAAATATCCATAACTCAAAACATTGATGGCTTTAAAAATCAAAGCAACGAAAATAAATTCTAAAATAAAAATATAAAAGACAAAGATATCTAAGGTGCCATGATGTACAAGTGGAATTGCTTCGAAGCAGCCATTGGTATAAATGGGTTAGCCTGCTGGAGTAATGTTAAAAAAAAACGCGAGTAACTATAGTCCTTACATTATCTTTGTCTGTGAATTTGTTTAGTCTAGATATATATGATTTCCAATGAAGCCCATGACACAAGAATACCACACATTGATGTACTTTAACAGTATTTTATTTCCACAAGAGAATATTTATTACTTAAAGTTATAAGTCAAAATACGAAGACTATTTGCGAAGTAATCCCATGATACCTAGTATCATTAATTTAAGGGCATGGGCATGGTGGTGGACATGGTGGTGGTGGTGGAGGGCATGGTGGTGGGCATGGAGCTGCTGGTGGTGGGCATGGTGGTGGTGGTGGTGGGCAAGGTGGTGGGCAGATCTGTGGTGGTGGTGGTGGAGCTGGTGCACCTGGTGGTCCTGGAGGTCCAACTGGTCCTGGTTGTCCTGCTGGTCCTGGGCATCCCTTTTGTCCTGGGGCTCCTGGTTGTCCTGGTGGTCCCATGCATCCTGGTGGTCCTGGTGGTCCTGGTCGTGGTGGTGGTCCTGCTGGTCCTGGTGGCCCTGGTGGTCCACATGGTCCGTTACATCCTTTAGGTCCTGGGCATCCTGGTGCTCCTGGTGGTCCAGTACATCCAGCTGGTCCTGGTGGTCCTGGTTGGGGTGGGCATGGTGGTGGACATGGGGCTGCTGCTGGACAAGGTGCTGGACAAGGTGCTGGGCATGGAGCGGGACATGGTGCTGGGCAACACTGTCGCTTAGAGCCTGAAACGATTCAGTATTACATCATTATATAGGTAAGCAGCGAAACGGAAATCATGATACATATTACTAAGCATAAATTGAAAGTAAGAAAGGAATAATGAAGTTTTTAGTTGGCAGTATCTTGAATATCATCACAYCTAAAATATACAATCATTAACAAAAAGAATACAGGATAAAAACATCAATTATATGAAAGCATATTCATCTCAAGTAGAAATATTGAAGAATTTTTACATTGATAGGGAAAAGGAAAAATTGATGTTCCACTTCAATATGTCGTCATGTGATCAATAGGGCGAGGCAACACCTGCTGAAATCATATTTCTGGCAGATCCTTTGACTATTTGTCAGATTGGAAAAGAAATTGGTATTTTCAAAATATTGGCAATTTGAAAAACCTAAATGATAACTGATCGAGTGAGAGGGTGATCCACTTTAAACTAAGCTTGTAGAGAAGCGGCGAAACAATGACTCGAAAACTAGATAAGAAACTAAATAATTTTTTTTTGAATTTCTGTGTCGCGAAAATCAAAATACAACAAATATCAAAAGAAAACGAATTGATGTGCAGGCATCGGTTACCGAAAAAAGCAAAAATCTGAATTTTAAGTTCATTAATATTTGATAAATGAATGCAAAAGAATAGAATCAATAGTCAAAATATCGAATTAACGATAGTCAAAATGAAAATAATATTTACCAGAATTCTTTTTTGGGACGACAATTTTAAGAAATCTTACAGTCATTGCTCGTTAGTGTATCTATTATATTCGAATTCACTGTTTTTGTCTCCCCTTTGTTCACATCAAATCCACCTCACAACCTTGAGCCTATAAAAAATTCATCGACCCACAAAAGATCACTTGCCAAAGAGAGAAAACCTCGAAAGAAAAAGTAGAAAGTAGTTGAACTTACCGGAATGAGACTTCTTTTTGACAGATTTGGCCGAGGCAATGGCTGCCAGGGCAATAACAAGGATTAATATTTGTACTTTCATGTTTATCTGTAACTGGAAGAGAGAAATAAAGATAAATGAATGAGTCGACTAACAATAGAATATAAACCATTTGAATAGTTTAGAAAATAGGCGACAATAATGCAATAACAATAATCCGATGCAAGAATTGAATTAAATTTGATAGCAATTCAATCTAAAGAGAATTTGTTTGACCACAAAAGTCTAATGAAATCAAACTTTTAGGTTCGGAAAAAATATAGTAAAGAAAAAATCTTTACATAAAGAGCTCATACAGTCAAAAAGATAGAAAACTAAAGATTAAAAACGATATCAAAATCAAAATGAAAGGGCATAAAATGATTAAACGAAAAACCCAATTTTTAACTTTTTAACTCAGACCAAAAAGTGAAAACTATATAATAAAAGATTCGAAAACTTGTTGAATAAAATCAAAAATATCAATAGAAAAAGTAAAATGTTTTGAAAATATATAAGAATTGTTTAGAAAACATAAGTATGGAAAGCATAAGAGATATCTTCTAGATAGTGAGTAAATGCCTTTAGGCTTTGCTTACCTACCTCAGTCAACTCTAGCTGTGAACTCTCAGTTGTGAGAATAGCTACAATGGTCTTGAATCTATATAGTCGCGAGTTTTGAAATCATTAATTATTTTGAGAATAGACTGGTATGGTAATGATGTCAGTTACRGGTTTCTTTTGTTTTGACTACTGGTGGTCCCATTTTTGTGATGCGCCCGAATAGATTCTAGCAGGTAGGGTCAAACTTTGACTTTGACACATATAAGGAAATATATAGGGCAATAGGGTATAGACGGATTGATGTTTAAAGAGCACTATATGAATATGCTAAAATTTTGAACAATAGTTAGTTTATTGTTTAGCCTTTTTCAATAATTCGTTTTGGAAAACACTTATGAGTTCATCACGAATGAGTGGATCGCTGACCCGGCAAACTTGACAAAGTGACAACTGCATGTCAAAAAATTATGGTCACATGCTAAATCTAATTTGACCATTTTTCGCCATGTATGTCACTGCAACATGGATTACTCTGATTGGCAGAGACCTTTATTCGGTTGTTGTCTTTCCTAATTTGCATAAAATATCTAACAGGGGGTGGGGCCGGGTGTATTGTTACACAATATAATCATGTTAACTAAWATCATTGACTCGATTGAAGATTATCAAATTAGTAAAAATAACTTTAACTTTATTATTTTGTGTGAAATTTTTAATTCAATATTTGTGTCATTATAGAAACATTATTGGTGTCTGTGTATTTTGGCAATGAGTTTAATTAAATTATCATTTGATCAATSAAACTATCCATGGGCAACCAATCGTTTATTATTACTAAACAAATCTGATTACATTCATTATGAGCAATTTGAACGATTACAGTATRGATTGTTCTAAATCTTAACTTTGAGATTCTTAGAATTCAATTGATAACTACTTGATATTTATAGAAATGACTTCTTTTTTGGCCGTTTTTTGATTTTTTGTTTACGAATTTAACGAAATATATATTTATATGTTTACTTAATTCTTGTGTCTATGCCCAGTGAACTGCTAAATCACACATTTCCCGCAATACATCAATCCAATGACTCAATCTTTTTAACTAGCCAAGCATTTACTAAAAACCTTGCTCCATTATTCAATGGTGATTTACGATAGCTGAATGTTTAGGGTAGGCCCAATTGTTTTTATAGCGAGTCGAAATGCAATGAATTTGTTTATAAACTCCTTTTCAAAGAGTGTTGTTTGAATAGTGTAATAACAATGTATATTAATATAATATTAAACAAACAATCTAATACCAATTTGAGTCTGTGTCTATGTCCAGTGAGCTGTTTAATGAAGATTGAATAAGTTTTGCAATAATCAACAGACTTTGAAGGCAAGCTGTTTTTTATTTCTATGGATTAAATGTTGTTTCAATAACTTACTATAAACACTGAATAATCGGTTAAGAAATTACTCAAAAGAGCTCTAAATGTGATCAAAAAATAAAAGAGAATTTGGTATCGACGCATTTCAAGTATTTTTTCTCTTTCATTTTTATAAACCACTTTTTACTGGCATTAATCTCGTAGTGCTGTGTTRAGTGCATAATCAGAATTTCTGCTACACGAAATATCTTGTTTTCCTGCAATAAACACAATATTCATATAATTGTGAGAAATATTTGAAGAAAAATAATCATCTTTCTTCTATTACTAAAAGTCATAAATCTTTYAAGTTTTAGCCTGCTGAATATGGATATGATAGTACACAATATTTTTTGTAGAAAAACAAAGTTTACATAATATATATTGTGACATTTAGATGCTTGGATATTTATCGTCGCCATWTTGGTGAACAATATGGCGACCAATATGGTGACTTCGTGCATGGTTACAACAAMCCAATAAAACGTCGGAATCTTCGGGAGGAATTGTTCTTTCGATTAAACCTGAATAGATTTATATACTTGTGTTTCTTCATTTTTRATCTGTCTTGGTTAATTTGTCCTTTTTCCCATCAAGAGCCGAGATCGATCACCGCCAAAATCACTCAACTTTTGCAAGTCAATATCTTTCCCTGGAACATACGCTTTCAAAATGCMTTTTATGAATAAAGTTGATGATAATCATATAACTTGCGAGCTTTAAGACAAAATCCCTAACGAGTCATGAGCTTTTGGTGCCTTAGAGTGTGCTGGTTAAATGCAGTGGTTATCGAAGAACAATAGATTGAAACAGGTTGATCYTTTTGGTGGGATATAACCACCGGACGATTTCAGACATTTTCTATTGCACAGTGTTAATTAATCCTAAGTACAACTGCCTGCACTGCACTGACTAAACAAATAACGGGAAAAAAAGAAGCAAAAAAACATTATTTTTCGCGCACAGCCATAATAATGATAACAGCGCAGGGCTAAATCATGATAAATGATTATATTTTATTATATTATTTTTAAACATTAAATCAACTAGAAAAATACCCCCCAATCAAGTAGTTGTTATAATTCCTTATAGTCTYTTCTTTTTTGTTTATTCAACAACTGGATCTTACACCATGAATATCAAAGTAGACAATTTCTTTTATATAATCTTTATCGACATTTGATAAGMTGCACTAACACTCAGGAAGCAATTTTTGGTGAGAGTTGGCATCTAAAATAGCCCTTCCTTTATCATTTTTGCAGCGCGTATACTTGCACTTTGTTTTATTTGAAAAGATAGAGCGCATAATCATCGACTTCTTTACTTATTAAGGTACAATTTCTTTTATYAATATTAGAGGACAAAAAAGAGATTACGAAAGCTCTGAAATTATGGACAGTCACCTACGTGACTCTAATAAATATCYCTAAATAGGAACGAAATCCTTGAAGAAAACAAAAATTCAACTAAGCAATTAGGAAATCATCCTCTAGTAAACAAACACTAATTGCGGCAATAGGTTGTTTGTTGCAGGTAGAGGTTGCCCCCAATGAYACACAAAATAGTTTTTAATCGGTTGAGTTAAGTGAATTATGTTAAGTGAATTGCACAAAGTGAATTACTAATTCTGTCTGGTATATTTAGAAAATAAACACTTTTTCCAAATGTAAACGTACTAATACCTCGAACAAGTGGTCTATTTATTTCCCATTCAATTCTCTACCTGTTTCTATTGTGATGTTAGCGACTGTGATTAACATTTGATATGCCGACTGCCACTAGCAACTCGAATACACGTATTGCAGTTGATTTTCAATATCTAAACATCATTTTATGATAAAGAGGTGATGTTATGTATGATGATTAGTACTAAACAACTTTAATGAAGCTTAAAATGCACTGTGAGGTAAAATTATAGAGCAAGGAAGACGACAAGGGTGCATGGGAAATTGCATAACTATCGAGYATGATTTATTAATAAGCTTCAATTCGTCAGATCAGTCATGCAGTCCGTCGGTCGATCGATCAGAGAATACCGCCATACATMCACTACCCAAGTACCCTGATTCGATCTCGGCGTTTTTATATATCTTTGATTTTAACGATTTTGACAACTTAAATGTCAGTCATTGAAGCCCCTTTTTTACACATTTTAAAATCCTTTTTACAAATTTTTAAATCCGTTTGTTATCAGGAATACACCTTTAAAATATTTGTAAGGCTATTGCTYTCAATACTCCAGTTTCGAGATCTTATCCTCGACAGCATGTAATATATTCTATTTATTCAGCAGAYATCCTATTGTAATGCAAACACTCTGAGTATAAAGAAGACAATGAAAATTTATMCTTGYTTGAAGCTAAGCTATAGCTCAAAAGAGATTCGAAACTAGAMTATAAATAGAGCTGTCACAAAATACCATATGAATTATAGGAACAAATCAAAATATAAAAACACCTAGGTGARGTTCTTTCGTAATTTTCAAATTGTATTTTTCTAAATGTTTATTTRCAAGGTTGCTGCAGYAKGTTATACGTTCAATTTGAGCAACATTTTAATTACAGTTGAAAAGAAGGAGAGGGCTTTTTTTGACTACGCAAAATATCTGACAATGGAAATAAACAATGGTAATACTAGTAGCTATACTGGTTGATTAAATTGATAATGATGATGATGGTGGTTATCAATAATAATAAGATCGCAACTTTAAGGGTGTACTGACATATCCGTTGCTAGGGAAATTCAMTAGTTCTCTAAAATGACAAACAAAAGTAAAATCGCTTTCGTATTAAGTATTAAGCCTTCCCAAACAAAAATAACACATTTTATGACGTCATTGTATGACGTCATCGCGTGACGTCATTAATACGAAAAAATGATATGATTTCATCAAGCAAAGTATATTAAACGATTTAAAATGGATTAYATTGATCTTTAGATTTAAGTCCGTAAAGCCAAGCATGCGTTTTTAGAATGATTGCCAAATAAGCTTTTTACGATTTTTTAAATGCCACAAATAAGCGAAAAATCCCAATAACTTTCGAATTTTTTTAATTTTTCACCAAACCCATGCTTGGTTATGAAGAGGAGGCTGTAAAGAACATAAATATTGAAAAAACACGTCCATTTAATGTTTCGCACCGAAGATTATATTTTTTTAAATGACACATACATTTTATGTAAACAAAAACCTTTCCACCGGAAGTAAACATTTTCCCGCCATGAAAACGCGCGCGCGCCCGCTTCTCCGATTGGCTAGCATCGGCTAGCATAGCAACCAGGTCGTCTAGAAACGGATACGTCAGTACACCCTTAAATTGACAACAAAAGCGATGCCAATAAACGTAATTTGGTAACACAAAGCATCATGGGAAATGAAGTCCACCGTTAAAATAGTCCCCAAAAGTCATTTTTGTGCTTCATTTACAAAAATGTCAGGCAGTTCTTTCATTRTCTCAAAGAAAAAGCAAAAACGACTTGTGGTTCATGTCCCATCATGCTTTTCCAAACTAAATTTTGTCGCTGCATATACTATGATATAATTAGATGATTTTCATTTAAAAAGGAAAAAAAAAACCTTTTTCACAAAATATGAAATGTCATATCACCACCACTGCTTGATTTATGTCAATAGATTTGCAAACGTTTAATGAGCATTCTTTTAAAAAAGGTTTTTCCCCTTTTTGTGGATCATAATAGARACTCAAGTAGAAGTGTAGCATTCATTTTGTCGCGAAACACTTTGCAGGAAATTAAATCACCCAAAATAACAGTGATCAATGAGAATCCTAAGACAAACGACTGTTTATAGTAAATTGTACAGCCAACTAATTGATATATTATTTAACTGTTATAGTGAATGCAACCTGACAAATGTAAATGAGCATAACGTCATTAAACACGTGAAATTGACTTTTAAGTTTGATAATTAAATAAACACAGAACAAAACAATGCAAATATAGAGCATACGTACAGAAGTATTTGTGCGAAATCRATTTCACGTGTTCTTTTGACTTGACTCTAATCAAGCCCCTTGCAACTATCTAAAGAACAGCTGTGACCTTTGGGTGATTGCAGATTTTAATGTCCACATTATTCTCTTGAGTCATTCCCTTCACTTCTTTTGTGTTTTAGACGTTTTATTTTTTGACAACTTATTATTTTAACAAAACTTCATGCTTTCTGACAGTTAGGARTCTTTCTTTTCCTTCAAGTCTTGAGCAATTGTCTATATTAGTTGGGTCACTCTGTGTTTATCCAACGATCAAACACATTAAGCGGAAATTGACGAGAAACTATCAAATAATCAAAATAGGAACYGAAAAAACATATGGTTTGATACTAATTAAGTTAAATCGTAATAAATTAATATTAGTATCTAAAATGATACTTTTTGATCCACYTTCTTATACAAATGAATTGTTGAGCCTTTTTTTTGTAAGATCAACTATACTTTAAAATATTCCTAACGGTGACAAGGGGATTACAAAATCATTAATAAGTCATTATTTTTCAGTGTTTTCCAGAATGCTTTGATTTGTGTCCTGATGTCTTCTTTTTGGCTTCTCTCTTGTGGACAGTATTGATCTTTGACTTCTTGTGAACTTTAGACTTCTTACAAGGGCAAGGTGGAGGACAATCTACACATGTGGTCTCGCAAACTTGTGGGCAATTTCCTACTCCACCTGCCTGTCCAGATTGMCCGGMTGGACCAATGTCACCGGCAGGTCCATTTACACCAACAGGTCCGGATGGACCAGCTGGTCCAGGTGGTCCGGGTGGTCCGGGTGGTCCTGGAGGCAATTGTGGTCCTGGAGGGCCAGGTGGTCCTGGTGGTCCTATATTTCCTGCTTCTCCTGCGGGGCCATTAGGGCCTTTTGGTCCAGCATGGCCGATCGGACCTTGACAGCCTGCAGGATTTCCGGGACATCCAAGTGATCCAAAACCTCCAGCGGGTCC